ATTAGCACAGAAATTTACTCCTATTTAATAGATTTTGAATTTGAAACTGATTTTTCGGTTTCCATTCTTCCTTCTTCATTTTAATATTCAAACGTCGCACGGCGACCATATTAATACCCAGACAATATGGTTGAAGCAAAAGAGTTAATGGTCAAGAGAGCACGATGATAATGTATGTAGAATATTTGTAATTGTTGACGTTAAAATGTGCTCACCCTTCAAGCTTCTTTATTCCTTTTTCCTCTCTCGTTAACGCAATGTGCCTACGACCGAGGGTCAGGAACGTTCCTGTCACGTTTTTCGGTCGGGCCCTGCCGAGTTATTTATTTCACGCTTAAAGAATCACCTACCGTCCATACCGGGCGTTATCCGACGTTGCATGCGGTCGACTTTGGGCAAACTGTCTTCTGCAAGCACGGTAAAAATCCGACACACGGTGGCGTTTCGCTGCCATGGGCATTATAAATTGTGTAAACACAAATTTAAACTTTACGAATATTTTTTGTTCTGAAATAAAATTCTGAGGATTCTGTTCAAGAAGTAGGGTCAAATTGTGAAAGCTGTTCGTTAATATTATTCGTTGTTAAATTATTGTTCAAAAGATCCCTGGTATTCCAGGATTGAAATGGAAGAATAAAAGTTAGCTCGCGACTGTTCTTTAGCGATTACGCTGGAAGCCGATCGAAAAGAAACGAAAATCCACGGAAACTACATGTCAGAACGAGTTCGCATTTGATTCCTGCACACTTTACATGCGACTCGTACACAATGCAGTCCATCGGAAGTTGTCGTCTACTACTTCCGCTATCTGGCTGCAGCACGTCTGTCTGACGGCCCTCCCCTACGTTTCGTCTCGTCACGACGAAATTCCGACGGATTCAATCCTATATGGAAATTCACAACACCGACCTTTCTTCTGTTAAGAAATACCGCTAGGGAAAGATGAGTTCCATTTGCGACGAAAGTGGGGGGACACCGACAATCTGTCATACGAATTAAAAACGGCTATGGGTCTCGTGCGCCCGTTTAGACCCTGTTATATTCAAACGTCACGCGACAAATCAAACTTTAATATATAATCCAATTGATGGTAAAGCTCTTTGGTGGGCTTAGTACTGAAGTACGTGTTTTAGCCTAATTGCAAAATGCTGTTACTCAATTATTTATCTTTCTATGAGATTAGTAGTGAAATTTATTGTTCGATGAAATGATATTATGTGATTAGTAATATTATTCTTTTTTCTATTTTCTAATTTCATTCTGGTTCTAATTGGATATCGTTGTTCTGAATACAGTTTCCTAAAGGCGAAAGATTTTTCTCAAAGGGACCGGTGCAAATTAAATTACCGGAAGATTGATCAAGAAAGATTTAAGTGGCAGGTAACGTGTTAATCCGAAGCTTAGAGGCGAAACATTTTCGGAAGGTGGGAAGATGAGTTGGCGTGGATTTGACGTATGGAAGACGTCGAGTGGGTTTGTACGGTGGTGTCGTCGATTCGTCTTCCCTTGCCTTTCACCATTGGCGAATCCTTTTCGTTCTACAATTCTACGTCGCCTTGTATAAATGGTACAAGCATCTGGGAACCATCCATTGACCAGGCTACATCCTTCTTACCGTAGATTACTCTGTTCTCCGCTCTTTTCGATTTATCAATTGGTTCCTTTCATTTGGACATTCGATTTTCTCTATCTAACCCCTCGAGATGGCGGCTTTATAAATGAACTGTAAGGTTTTATTCTCGTTGAAACTTAAGAAAATATCGGAAAAATTGTTAAAAATAGTTTCTGAAATTCTCTTGGCACAAGTTTCTCAATAAGCAATCTTAGAAATGCGAAACATGTTTCCACTGTTAGCGACAATTTTTCTCCGTTAAGTGGCCTTATCTCTAGCTGCTCTGATTTTTCAATTGCAAACGTTGAACCCGTTGCTCAGACGGTGTTATTAATACAGATTACATCTTTCCGTGGGCGACGAGCGAAATCATTTCAGGGAATCCTGATTGCCACCACATGCGGGCGCGTTTAAAGTCGTACTAATTAACACGGCAACGATTCAAGATGTCGGCACTGCCACGACGACGAAATGGGTTGAGAAGGTGGAAGTCTTAAGACGGCGGCGTGTTCTCTCCGGGGAGCCAAGTGTTAGGAGAATTAACAGCAACCCCTGATCTTGGCCCTCTATGCTATCTCCCTAATAATAAACTGGTAATTCCCAATGCCCCTATAAGTTACTCCCTTTCAACGCCACAATAACCTACGAGTGTTAAGACGTATTGTCTAACGGGTGTTCGTTGTTCGTTCTGTCACACGCACGAGCACTGACAAACATTTGGTGATCGATGAGCTAACAAAGGCGATGCGAAAGGTCCAACGAACCAATTACATCCTTGCTATACTACAAACTCAGGGATTCGTAACAATAATAACCCTTGTCAAAGTTTATTTTCTTTATGGAATAACACATTACTGTTAACAACTTAAAAAGTTACTCTATCGATTATCAAATCCCAATTAAATTCATTTCAAAATACAAACAGTTGAATAAATCAATAGAGGAGCAGGCTAATAAAAGAGGGATGCAAAATATTTGCAAAATAGACATGGAAGAAGAGAACCACCGCGTGGTTAACGAACCAGAATTGCTGATTAATCGACGGTTTCTAATTTATCCGGCGAAGTAAGCAAACACTGGGGGCAAGACAGAATTTCCAGATACCTGGGCCAGGTTTACCGCGATGGAATATTGATGATCACGCGTTTTGCATACGTACCCTCTTCCGGACATTTAGCGAAACTCCGTCGACCGGAAGGTAATTCGCAGTTCGAATGAATTCGTCATGATTTCGTGAGCAATGTTCACCCGTTACATCGTTACAGCCTGTGCTCACCTTCATCATAGACATCCGCCGTGGCTTGCAAAGTACCCCGGCTTTTCGAGGTGTAAACCGATAGAAATAGTAAGCGAAAGAGAAGGAGAGAACACGAGGCTGTAAACTTTCGGGAGGAGAACACTCGACGTCTCCACGGAACCATTTAGATTTATGGGCACAAATTTCTATCTAATAAGGAACAAGATCCATACGGTTACCGAACATAACGTTAGCAAAGATTGCAGTTAATCTTATATTATAAACTAGAAAATATATCTACGTCGCTGATAAATTGAATCGTGTCAGCAGTAAAAAAGAGTGAGAAGTATCTTATTGCGCGCGAAGTAAGTACTTGTATCTCTCGTGTTTAGCGGCGGGTATCTGGTTCGTAGATTAGGAACGAAGGGGACAGTAACAGTGACCGATAAATTTTCACGGCGGCTGTCTCTTACTTGTAATTAAACGCACAATTTAAACGAGCCGTTAATGTCAGCAAGCCCAAACCAAAGTGTCTTCTCCTGGTAGGTAAGTGTCCTGGCTTAATGCTAGGATCAATTGGATCGTCTTACGTAACAGTCATGTAGTAAAACTTATTGCAATTTTCAATCGTATTTTAACTCTTGATTCTACTTCAATTTTTAACAAACTTTGAAAATAGAGAGAGGAATGATTTCATGTAATATGACCTAGAAATAGTCACGAGTCGTTCGTCGAAACAACCTATGCACGTTGCATAGTAATTATAAAAATTATTATTGATCGATCACGTGACTAAAGAAAAGGATTTTATTATGCATGCGTATAAACGAAACGCGTCCCTAATTACAGCATTGTGGCGACCCATGCCACGTACCAGTCGAACATCTGCGATCCATCGTGACGGATAAATCACCTTGGGACCACCCTCCAATCGCATCTCGGCCATCGCCTTGCATATAGACAGTTACTAATGAGCCAACCCCATTTAATTAACCGTATATAGTTTCGACGCAACTGCCAGACTATTTCTCAGTTGGCACACCACGCATTATCGTCCTCTTTCCAATGCAGTCCTTCTTTCATTTTATGGACTGACGTTCCACTGCCAACAGGTTCTAAGACCAGCGCATCTGTTCAATTTGCGTTTCAGGTATGATATTTTAAAATATTTATATGAGAACATCTGACTTAATGAAGAAAATTAAAGATTCAGTACCATGACTAGACTATGGAATCTAAGGGTTGATACAAGTGGTATCGGATTAAGTTTGGAGACAAATTGCGCGTTTATTTTATAACGTCTAACGTTTGTTTTTGAATAGGATAAAATTAACATAAAAAACTAGATATATTGTGAAATAAAAAACAAACTAATCCTAGTTTGTTGAAAAAAGGGTGGCATGCAAAGGCCTCCGTGGCGCAATGGGTTAGCGCGTTCGGCTGTTAACCGAAAGGTTGGTGGTTCGAGCCCACCCGGGGGCGAATTATTTTGCATTTACAACCCTTTCGTACGAAAGAAACAAAATTTTTGTACATGGATACGGAGAAAATCTTATATGAAAACTCTTTGCAATTAACTATCACACTTACACCTTGCTAATTTTCAATATTTAATTATAAATGGTATTTTAATAAGATAAATATGAAAAATAGAAAATCATAATTTAGAATAATTACAGCAATCTATAATATACATTTATGAAACATTACACTTAAATTATATTTCACGTTTTTAATAATCTATTATTATGTTGTTAATAAATATATCCTACAATATTTACTACAAATAAAAATGCAATATATTGGAAGTAATAAAATTAAATAGGGTAAATTCAGAAACCAAATTCAATGGCGCCGTGGCTTAGTTGGTTAAAGCGCCTGTCTAGTAAACAGGAGATCGAGGGTTCGAATCCCTCCGGAGCCTTGAAGCAATTTAAATTGCTTGCAATTATTTTTTTTTTTTTCAATATAAACATACCACTTTAGACATGAAATTTATTTTATATTAACCTATTTAGAACTATCGCTACAAATACTAATAAAAATAAATATCTTTTCATGACAAACATCTAACCTCTTATAAATAACCTTTTATAAAATAAAGAAAGTAAACATACGCAAAGTTAGGTTATTTTAGTAAATAACACATACCGAAAGATGATCACGTTGAATCTGTAGAATACACAACGTTCCTCGCCTGTTTTCTCCTCGAATCTGTTTCCTAATTCCAAACAGAAGAGCACCGTAAACTTATTGTTAGTCGTATTGAAATACGAATTTGTAAACACCTTCGCGTGACAAGACTGCTACACCGTTTCAATCTCGCACTGTTGGCTGCTCTGCTCGTCAGTTCAGTCGAGGAACTTCGTTGTTGTGATCGTTCAGTGCGTTGCGTGCGTTATAACCTCGTTTCCCGCAAATATGAATTCGTGTACTGATCCGCTTCGGTTAAATGAAAGTCGGTTGTTTCAGGAGTTGAAAAATAATTTATCGAAACACATTAAAGACACGCGAAACATTTTAGAAATTCGTGACAACGTGTTATATGTATGGAATGCTAAGGACTTTTGTGTGATGACATTAAACGTTGCAGCCACACGTGCAAAAAGCGGAGAAGATGTGCCTTATCAAGTAAGTGATTAATTTATAATTAATTCAATTAATGCGTACTTCATAGATTTATAAGTTGGAAATAGTGGCGTAGCATATATGTTATGTTTTGTTATGGGTATACCTAACCTTAATAACACGTTTCGCGAAAAACCGCGCAAGCGTCTGATTGTATCATACGTATTTGAATTTATGAAACATTGAGTGTCAATGCATTCAATTCAAGATGAATATCAGTTTACGCTGATACTTTTGAATGAAAATTCATTCTGTTAGATAATTTTTGTACATTAGCTCATTGATTAAGCTATATGAAAAAGAATTAAACATAATTGGAGGAAACAATGTAATTTAGTCAGAAAATCAAATCAGTATTAGTGGTACTATTGGTTAAACATTATAATACACAGTTATATGAAGAATTTAAACTTCGCTGATGGTCACCTGAAGTACTTCAATTATTATATAATGTTGCATCCAATTGCAATATATACCTTCAGTTGATACTACTACCAAATTGTGTAATTTAAAACTGCACTATACTGTTATCGTGCAATGTAGACTAATTTATATCAAATGGCTAAAAATGTTCACTTCGCTACATTTATCATATTTCTTTATGCTTCTATCATCAAGTATACAATATCTGAATTTATAAATCAATCTACTTTTTAATTATAATTCACGGTTAGCTAAAATTTAGTTAAAATTTTCATATGACTCAAAGGAATTAGGAGGAATCGAGAAGCGTTTACCACTGGAGAGATTAATGGTTCCATGAAAACGTCGGTGACGTTCGGACCTTCGTTAAGTAGACGTTCCTCGATAACCGTGGACCCATTACCGCGGTTCGGTGTGTCCGCTTATACGACGATTACCGCGAAAGCGTTTTCTCCAGCGAACTTTTGATTCGGAACGATTAAGCTCCGGCTAAATTATGGTCCGCGATACCAATATACAGCCACAGGAGGCGCGTGTCGGTGCACGCGTGTCCCGCGGGTTAATCGGTGTACGTACATACGCGCACTAGCGGAAAATGATTACGTGGTAAATGAAAGGGAAGCGGCATGGCGGAATCGCGCACACACCGAGAATGGGCAGAACGTTTCGTTCTCGCCTGTGCTTTTATTTCATTTCAATGGCACCGTGGGATCAGCGGGTACATTAATGCCTGGGTGCTCGCGAGCGCCACCACCAGCGCACCGAGCGACCACCACAGACCAAAGGACCGGTGAGGGGATAATTTATAGGAAATGGGTTGTTCGACGCTCCGGAGTAATTTAATTAAAATAAATGTCTGTACCGCCGCGGAGGAACGTTAACCCACGAACCCGCGGTCCACAACTGCGAATAAAATGCAAATTCAGACCCTTCACCGGGTTACGTATGGGTATTCGTAGCTAGGTAGATAAAGAGTACGCGGCCAAGGGGTGGAATAGAGAAGTCTCGGGGAGGGTCCTTTCCGGTTATACCCTCACCGTTCAGGGACCGATCATCGCTCGTTCACCCGTTGATTTGATAAGGGAAAATCCTGAGGAGTACTATCAGTTGTTCAAGAATCTTCCTCTAGTTAGTTGGTTGTACTTTTACTGGCTGTACCAGTACTTAAAATTTAAATAGTTTCAGAACTTTATGGATCTTGGTTAAGAAATGAATAGATGTTTGGTGCTGATGAATATAGATGTATAGGGTTATTTTAAAAATTGGACCAATTCTTATTTCCCTAAGATTTTGAATTGAACTTCTAGCATCTACTCCATTGCACCTTGAGTGTACAAAAGGAGGTACTCATTCATCATTTCCTCTTGTCTTATCGAGAAAAAAAAACTCAAGATGACCTCGGACCTCCTACCCTTCAGCATTTTTCTAAGAGTCAATTGAATTGAACAATCGTCGCGGCACCCAAGGGCCACTTTATGTCCGCTAGGTGCATGCGCGTTGGCCGACAGAAATATCGGTCGTAAATAATAAAAGTTAGCGAGGTTCCTCCCTGGCGCGCACGGCGGGACTTTAAACCGGAAGATAGGTGTCGCAGGATACGGACGAGGCAGAGTAGAAGGGGGTGGATGAGGTGGGCGAAAGAGGCAGCGGGGTAGCATCAGGGTATGGGGCGGAGACAAAGACGCGCTATTGTCAACCGCTCCGCCATCGGAACCACCATCCGCCGCGGGAAACTTTGAATCATTTTTATTGCATAGAGTTATCTTTGTTACCAGCGGAACGAACGTCTAAACGCGTCCTCTCTGTCCCTTTCTCTCCCTTCGTCTTCCTTCCCTCTTCGTACAGGTTATGTCCCCCTCCTCGTCGTTCGTCCTCGCCTTTCTGCCGCCGCCGCCACCCCTCCCCACACCTGCACACCCTTTTTGTTCTTCTCGCTCGATGCGAGATAATACGAACGAGGAAGCGTTCACACCCCTTTGGCTGCCCAAATGGAATAAGTTCTTTAATTCGCGAATTTACCGCTTCTCTAACGAATTGCCCGACCCATCCTTCTCGCCGAGATAACAAGTCTTCTTCTCGACCGGTTGCCGGCTTCAACTTTTGATTCTCACCTGTATCTTCTGGTGATAAAGTTAGATTTCCCTGGAACGTATCTTTCCTAGTCGATACTTGGTTTGTACCGTGAAAATTTACAGCAACGCGTTGGACCCTCACGAAACAACGGTATCTTTCTTCTGAAAAGAAATTTATGACACAGTAGCAATTCGGTAGGTCTACGTGAGCTTTTCTATATGCCGGCCCGCGTGAAGGGAGCGTTTTATCTAAATTAAAAGCACCGCCTCGCGGAACCGCGTCCTAAGGTCCAAACAAAACAGGAAATCCCGTCTCAGGCGGTCGAAAGAATGGAATATCACGTAATAAGCAAAATCCTCCCGACGATAATTAAAAAGCAATTTTACGGCGACATTTGTACCTACAACGCCGCTTTCCTTGCCGCGGACGGGGGTAAATACTCGGACACTCGTGTACACCCCGGGTAATAACTACACACCTACGTGGTCGAGAGACTTGTACAGGATATGAAAAAAACTGAATGTCCAGGTTTTATCAGATTATTTCTCGCTTTTCATTCGCTCGAGGTATTTTCAAATCTCCCTGTTACGACATTCTAGTTATTCTTAATGCTTAATCCGCGGAAATAGCAACCCCGAACAAACTATTTGGATAAAGTTTCATCGATTCTTTAAAATTTTATTTTCATTTTGAACGTTGCACGGTAGCGGCACTTACGTATTTGTTTTACACCCTGTACGGTGGTCAGTTTTACGCCCAAGCATATAAGCAAACTGGCTAGGGTTGAAGGGTGGTCCAGTCGGTTCCTGGACACAGGTTAGGTGGTCCGGTACGTGAAAGTATACGATGAGGTACCTACAGCAATAAAATTCACGGGAAGTGTTTTACATTGGTAGCCCGTGTGTGCTTTGTGGACAAGGGTGCCAGGGCGAGGGGGAGCCTCGACGAATTCAGTAAGTGGTGGACAATGGCTTTTGTGGTAGACATGAACCAACTCATACTTCTTTCCCCTCTGGCATGCGTATTTTGTCCTACCACCGTTGCAGATACATTTTCTCTCGTGTGATGCTTTTTCTCTTCATCATGCATTGAAAGTAGCGACATGCGCGTACAAGTAGAAGAACGGGTACATTTTTTCAGGGAAGAGAAGATGAATGAGTATTTTCCTCGGTTTAGCTTTATTTAATCATAATTTTAGCTGAATTTAATGAATTACAACTTGTAATTATAAGTTAGATGATTAAAGACAGAAGAAAAAAGAATATATGTACAGATGTAATTGTCGTTCAAGAACGTAGTGTCTTTATCTATTTCTGGAAGTCGTATACTAGAACAATGTGGTTCGTTGTCAAATCTTCCCGTTGAAATACAAAACACCCCACCTCTTGGAAGGTACTAAGCGAGTACACGACATCCCTTACCCCGCACCTTCTCTATTATCGTCGCTTGTATAGCCTATAAGTGGAGAAAGGGATGCAACTCCTACAATGGCAATAATTCCGCATTAATAGCCCCTTAAGGAGGCTTTCTACCACAACCAACCTATCCCTTATACAAAAATCGCTGTTTATTAGGACTATTTTCTTGTTGTTTATAAGGTAAATTTTTGTAACAATTTCCAAGTTAATTTTATTAGCAAAAGTAGTTGTTCCAGTTTAGAATATATAACTCGAAGATTTCTCAGCCTTAACTAAATGAAGCTTCCTTATCATTTCTGATGTTAGTGAAATTTATCTGTTTGCGTGAAGCGCATCAATAACAAAAAGTCCTGAATTGTCCCCAAGTATCGGATGATCTCTTCCGGTGTGGGCGAGGGTGAGTCGGTCGAAGTGGCTCGCGTTCCAGCAGGGGGTGGCTTTGTCAGCCCTGGAATACCTTGGCAGGCTAATGCATTTCCTTTACAGTTTTAATGGGCATTCATAACTAAGTTTAATAATGCCGGTAGGAGGGCAGCCGTCGCGGTTGCATATCTAATAATTCCACGGTTCTACCTCGCGCAGGAAGTGGCACACAGCACGGATTTTAGTGGTGGCTGCTCGAGTTCATCCCCCTACTACTCTTCTCAGCTTGAAAGCGCACGTTCCACCTCTTTCTCGCACCCTCTTTTCTAGCCCCTCGAGTCTTCCTACCTTCTTCAGGATAAGGATTTCCTAAGGATTTTCAGACAGCAACGAACCGCACTCTTTATCGCTCATTTCATGTCGTACTCTGATAAATCAATTTGTTTATTTCGATTTTGCACCAAATCAAATCCAGCCCTCTCTATCGTTCTTCCAAGACCCGGTGTCATTCGTTAGAAGAGAAAACTTTATCCCGGTTCGACTGACTTAATCACTGCGAAATCACGAACAAGGAAGATTGCCGGGGCGAGAAAGGGTTCCGGCCTTGCCAGAACATAATGGCGTTTTGGTTGTGAACCAAGATATAAATCCCGCCACCGTTATGTGGCATAGAGCACCATCTTAGCTTGGTCTTCGCGTCGGCGCCGTCTCTAATAAATAACCCCG